ATTTGATGAGATGAAAGAGGGGCTAGGGATTTATGAGAATGAACAATGGGGTTAGAGATTTTAATTTTAGAATTGGGAGTCAATGACTGTATTGGAGGACTGGGGTCACGTGAGAAGCATGCATAGGATATATGAACAAGAGAAGCAGACCCAAAGGATAATTTAGTGAGACCAGGACATGAGAGAGCCACCTTAACTGCCACCTGCATATGAAGCTGTCACAATTAGTTATTCAGGACATCCAGCTGTCAAAAATATAGCTACCCAATAGTACAATGTTAACAAATAAAAACTTGTACTGAATTTAGAAAACTTATCTGAATATTGAATGAATCTACGCTTTCCTTAATTCTGTCTTCCTTCTCTCAATCTCTATTTCTATTTTCTTCGATCCTCGTTCTTTTTCGATTCTCTTGGGTTCGTAACAAAATCGTTATTATATTTAGATATTTTTCTATTTTTAATAAAACTAGTTACTTCAATCTTATAGAAAAACATAGACACGGTTCATGCTCTAATCTTGAAAGTTGACTGTCTCAGCCTAATATTTTTGCTTAAATTCTATCAAATTTCAAATTTTTGAGTTTAAAAGAATGACCCAATCTTTGGACAATATACGCTGCAGTTCTCATCAGTTTCGACCCTTGATCCACAACTATGTTGGGCTTTCTGGTACACTAATCCAATGGATTTGGAATTCAAAGTTCTCATCAGTATATAATAATGGAATTAACTGATTTTGAACCTAAATTAATCGATAATCAAATTTTTAAAAAAAATTAACCGTTAATCAAACCTTTTTAAAAAAAGAATATTTGTTAGATCAAACTGTTAATCAAAGTTTGCTTGATCTTAAAAGTTTAATGGTCTGGTTAAAAAATAGTTAGATCTTCATTTTTAATATATATATATATATATATATATATATATATATATATATATATATGCATACATACGTATGTATATATATTTTCGGTTAATTCATTAGTTGATTCCAAATCGAATTAATTGATAATTGAATTTTAAAAAAGATCTCAATTATTGATTGATTAATATATAATTACTTGTTTGATTAACCAAATTAAATTTCAATTAAATCAATTGATTCAATAAAAAAAACCGAAAAGCACCTCTACATTATAGGTCGAAAATTAAAAATAATAGTAAAAAGAAACTGAAAAGGAAGAAAGAAACGAACTTGATTAACATGGAGAAACATAGGTTTCTAGTCTTTTTTTTCTTTTTCATGAGGATTCAGTTATAAGATCATCACTGGAATCAAACCGTCCCTGACAACCCAAATTGACAGAACAAATCAAAAGCCAAACTCGGTCCCGATCGTGAAAAGACACCATCTTTGGAAATTCAATCGAAGATGAAGAAAGCGATGATGTTCCACTATCTCTGGTCCTTCTACTTCCTGCCATAATCGTAAGATTCCTTCTTCAATTATCGGAGTCCTTCATTTCAAACACCGATTACAACACCCATCGATCAATTACCCTTTCCCCATTACAAAAGTCAAATTCTTCACATGTTTTTAAAGTTCAAAGCTTGTCATTAGGATCGTCTTTTTTTATGTGCTGTGGGTTGCTATGGACCAAGATTTTATGCAACGTTGAGGAAGTTAAGGTCAAATAATGTGAATGTGAACATGCAGTGAGCTTGTACGTACTTTTGTTTTTTAAATGGTATGTATACAGCCTGAGCCAGTGATTTATGGTTTAAAAAAAACAATGGCCAGCTTATCTTGATTAATTTCAATCTATATCCAATGCTGCATGATTTTTTATATGCTTTAGTCTAAATCTTGGGCACCCAATAAATTAGAAGTTCATTATCAAGTCAAAGGTTCATCATTGCCTTCGGCCATTATTTGCATTGGTTTAATGAATGGACTTTGAAGTTGTTGCCTTGCCTACCAGCAAATGATGAATCTGTAGCCAAAATAATATCAATCTATCTATTCAATCATAGCTTGTAACTTAAATTAAAATAATACTCAGTTTTATTAATATATTTCTAAAATAATATAGGCTGTGGTACTTTTTTAAGGTGTAAGTTATTGTTATGTAAAAAATGATAATAGAAATATATATAGTCTCATTATTTTTATGATTATGTGACATTGATAATATTTTGGTTCAAGGTTTAAAATGTGTTTCTTCAATTAATTATTATAAAACTTGCTCGATATACTCTTTAGATAACAAAAAAAAAAAAAAAAAAATTGGCTCATACCCACACATGATAAGAATTAAACTTAAAACTATGGAGACAAAACAGCTTCATTCGTGATATATATGTTACATCCGTATTTACATGATTGACAATTTGGCGTAAGTTGAGAATGACTCCCTTTTTTATGTAAGTAAGAATTCCTTGTCGAGAATAGCTCATTGTCTCAACATGATTGAGTTCTTTGCGACTCATTGTCTCAGTATCTCGAATCGATTATGATACTTTAACTTAATATGATAAATTTAATAGTTACTAAGTTCTTACATATTTTCGAGACAGATTTGTTCGTCATTAATGGATCATAGTTATCACATCTTATAATTAACTCAGCATAATTTGATCTTGCATACCGTTTGTATTATTTTGTTGATTTGCATTATCATGGACTAAGTTATTATACTAAAATTTCATAGGCCTTTATTTTTTTAACGAGTTTACGCATCAATGAATAATCTATTTGAACTAAAATCAATTTGGCGTAGAAAGGAACTCATAGGCTTTGTCTGGTAGATTCAATTCCCATAACCCCCACTACAATGCAAAAGTTTAGTGACAGGAAAATATGTTAATTAACATTAAAAAGAAAATGTATCATAATTTTGTATTTGTGGTTGGAATAATTGTTTCTTTTATTGTACAAGTGTCAAATATTTACATTTTACCAAACCCAATTACCAGCGACAAACTGTTGGTTGATCAAGTGAAAAAGATTTAACTTAATATCACCGCACAGTTGGTTGCATCTCCATTCCATCCCCCCCTTTTTTTTTCATGGCAACCCACTGTCATATAGTTTTATAGATTTATTAAGTTTCTGTTTATAATAAAAAAGTAAGAAATATAAAAAATTAATTTTACCCCTATACTTCAGGAATAGATTGATGTAATCCTCTAGTTTGTCTATCCTTTTACCTAGAAAAAGCCTTTCATAATATACTTTAATAAAATAATTGATAATAGTATAAGCACGAACCAACTTACCTCAGCGGTTAAAAGAATCATTGTTGTTCCTAGAGATTATGGGTTCAAGTATCAGTAATTATAGCAGAGTGATTGAGAGTGTTCATTGTTAAATTGTTGAGAGTATTCAGAACAAATATTACTTTGTAATCACTTTAACTTAATAAAAAAGAATAAATATGAAATTAGTCTTAGAGTTTGTTTAAATAATAACTTTAACTCTTAATTTTTATAGTATTTTATTTCTAAATGTTTTGATTTTTAATAACATATGTTAAATGAAAACTATTAATTGATTAACTATCAACATATATTATTGGTGTGTTATTTTCACATTTTTTAACTAAAATTATGTTACGTTTTACATCATCAAAGTGATAACGTAACATGTATCACATTATCAAAATAATTATGACATATATTATGTTATCTTCAACATTAAAGATTTTGTTTCTCGAACAAAAATAAACTCATATTAAAATGACACTCTAGAAATAATAAAATAATACATAAAAATAATCAAACATAACATAAAATAACATTATATGAGTCATTTATATCACCATTTTAAATTTTTATTAATATAACTTAGTAGCATGTTAAAAGTTAATTAAAAATTTATACAAATGTAGTAGTATAAAATAAATCCTTGAATTGTCGGGTGTAAGCGAAAGAGACTGTTTCACGTGGGTAGGTGGGTACCCATTATAACTCCCAAAACGGCCAGCATTATGTATTTTGTAATTCTTCACTGCATTTTACTTAAAAATAAAAACTTAAATAAATAGTGGGAAATAGCATGGTTTTCAGAATTAGACCGGTTAGCGAACCGGTCATACTATCGGTTTATTGGTTTAACCGGTCGGAAGAACCGGACGACGTCATAATTATTTAAAAAATTAAATAAAAATACCAAAAATATTTAATAAAAAATAATTTTTTATATCACAAGTTATATTCAAAACAAGTCATAACATATATAAGTTAAAAACCATAAAATCAAGTGAAACAAAATGATTCAAATTAACTACAACATAATATTTAAGGTAAAACATATTAAATAATAAATATAATTATATAACTATAATTAAAAAATAATTTTGGGGTTAAAAAATCATAACAAAATGATATTGTTTGGTTTAATTTTTTTTAAAACAATCTCACATGGCTAAGAAACATAGAAGAGCATCCCAAAAGTCTAAAGAGTAAACATATGAGAACAAAACAATCTCACATTGCTAAGAAACATAGAAGCCAATCACAACTAACTTCTATAAATAATAGAGGTAATTTGGCATTCAAAATTATGAGCCTTTTGGTGAGCATTGAGTGAACTATTCTTTCACTTCAATCAAGCTCGAATTTTAGGCTTCAATTGAGCTTCTAATTTTTTTTGAGTTCATGCCTTTTTGAGTTCAAGTTTCAATATTATATTTCGAGTTTGAGTTGAATTAATAATTTTTAGCTTGTGAGTTTGAGTTGAGTTGAGCTTACTTTTAAAGTTTTCAAGTTCGAGTCGAGCTCAGCAATACTCGAGTTCGACTTGGCTCGTTTAACAAACGACGTTGTTTGGTTTACTTTTTTTTTAAAAAAAACAAAAATCCCAGTTTTCAGCCGGCCCGGTTCGAACGGTTCAGCGGTTCTGACCGGTTCACTAATAGCGATTCAACTGATTTATATTGAACTGGACTAAGCAACGATTTCCGATTAAACTTGTTGAACCGGCCGATCCGATCCGATTTTCAAAACATAGGAAAATAGTTAAATATCATTCATCCAATATATTTCATATCTCTACAATTCTTCTTTGCCCAATCCGTATATCACAGAATTTACAGCAGTAATTTTTAATTAACAACAATCACTTCAAGTGTCTAGAAGTCCACCTCTTCCTTTCGAATCATTCTGATTCGAACCTGGACGACTCGTTGGATAACTCACCCACCTTCTCTGCCATCTCCATGCATTCTCCCAATGACCGGAGCTCAAAACCCGTGGCCTCAACGCCGTTTACCCCCAATTTAGGAAAAAGAAGGGAAAAAAAACCACTTGCGTTTTTACAATGTAAGTAATAACAAGTAAAAAATACTTCTGCAATTTGGTCAACTCGATGGTTTCAGCAGCGTATGATTTTTACTCACTTGAGCTAACTCGGAACTGAGTAAAAAACCTCGGGTAGGAATCAAAGTGTCTCCTTTTCTACTGTTTCTTTATTCACCATATTGTTTTCTCAGCGAACCCATGAAGTAAAGTTCGAGATTCGATCCACAAATCAAGCTTATTCCCCATCCCCACGTGGCAGCTGCCTTTGAAGTCCTCAAGGTTGACGAACCTGGCGGAATGACCCGACTCCGACCGGGAAATGACCCGGATGACTTCTTTGAAAACGGTCTCGTCGCAGGGGATCGCCAATGGGCCTGGGTTACTGAACCGGTACTCTTCCTCGGCTTGGATAAGGAGTTTCTTGAAGATGGGATGGTTCAGGTATGTCGTGCGCACGACAAATCTCCTGCAACTCGTCCCCACGCAGACAGCCACGTGTCCGGCCGGGACATCGGACGGGATCCGGCTGGCCGACATGCGAGCCTTGTTCCTCCACCGCCGCAGCATTTGTCGGAGCCTAACAATGTGACGGATTTTGCTGCTTTTTCCGAGTCCGGCCGACATTTTTTTCGGTGGCACTCTTAAGAAGAAAAATGAATCCTTTGCTTTGCTCTTCCTTACTGGAGCGTCGGAGAAGAATTACAACTTTATGAGGGGATCAAGAATTTGGGAGGGCGGATGATCTTATAAAAGGTAGGATATGGAAGTGCCCATAAAGTTTGGGTTAATTACGATGTTGTGTCTGCTGCTGGTGAAGCATAAAAATGTCTTTTGAACAACCATATACAAATTAAAAAAAACAATATACAGATCTAATACAATCATAAATAAATTTAAAGTCTAAAATAAATTATAATTTTACACGATTATAACTTCCCTTAAATAATAATAATATGGTGGTCAAGGAAGGACAAAGTGACGCAAATAAAATTTTTCATAATTTTATTTGTATTATGTAGAGATATATGTCATGTAATCTTTAAAGAAAAATTCTTACTTTTGGATACATTGAACCCCACAAATGGTACGAAAATGTGTGGCATGCGAGAATAAATTGATAAAAAGATGGATGTTTAAATTATGATGGTGTAAATAGAATAAATTAGATTAATAAAATTATTTTATAATATTTAATTTAAATCAATTAATTAAGTGATTAAATACTGATAGTTAAATTAAAGAGAAAATTTTGTATCAATGATAAACCAATAGAAGTTTAAAGTTTGTGGATAATAAAATACTAACAATTATGGAGGTGAGAATAAAGAAACAAAAAAGTACATTTAACTTAAATAAAATTGAAAATATATTGGTCATTAAAAAAACCAGTAATCGACTCTATGTTTGTTTCCCGTTTTAATGTGTTTGGTGGGGTTAGAGACCATAATTATAACTTTTACAGTTTATTATTTTGATAAAAAAATTGAAGAATTGTGTATTTTTTTAATCGATATCTAATTTATTAATCGATTAATTTAGATTGGTATTGTAAAGGTAAGAGTGATTATTCAACCCAATTTATTTCATTTGTAATTGTCAAGATTCGTATCTTTGAACTTAAGTAAGGAATTCGGTAATAAGAAAATATAAATAATGAAAAGAATATAAAAATACAGTAGATGGTGAGAAGAAAAGGAAAAGCTTTTGGAGAGGCATGCTTAGTCAGTAGGTCAATAATGTCTTAACAAAATAATGTCTCATCAAAATTTGGATATTACCCTGGTGATCCCTGTTTGTTTAAATTATGCCTCTCTTGTTTAAATTAATAGCATACTAAACATTAATCTTTCACACTTAAAGGAAGTGGGTGAAAATAAAATATGATTGATGTTCTGCCCAATTGTGTGCTGCATGTGGCTTTCTGCAAATCCATCGGTAAACCAAGTCCGACTCTTGGATCATCAAAGAAGAAAACAGCCAAATTGATTTTAACTCTGAAAATTGACTTGGGTCAATTGTATAGACGTTAAACCATGAGCGCCGCATGAATCTTTGTGCAATAAGCAGCCTAGGGTTCCTGTAATTGCCTCAGAAGTCAAAAACTGATGAGTTCATTTTCGTATCCTCAAAATGGATAGACTAATATTAATGTGCCATAAAACAACGGTTTTAGAAGGTTTGGCCTTCGATTTAGATTAAACGAAAAGCAATTTATTAGCAGGTAAAATCATACATAATGTTATATTTTGAGTTCGTTCAAGTCACTTGTCGTTTTAAAATAAATAGAATTAATGATGTGACAATCTTTTTTTTTTAAAATTATGTGATATTGTCTTCATCAAAACATAATTTTAAGTATGATTTAAAAAAAATAATAGATAAATGATCAATAAAGAACTAAAATGATGATTGAATTACTAAATACAAAGTTTATCCATTTATTAATTGCAGCGACTTGAAGATGAGAGATAGCATGCGAAAGTTGAAAATATATAGTACTGAATAAAAACCCACCACATGCAAAAGTCGAAAAAGAGGCTGTGGGTTTAGACGTGGCTGAGTCAATTGAAGATGCTTTTGTTTCCCCAAACATTTAAACAAATAAACAAATAAAAACAGCCCTCTCCTAAAAGCAACGATTTTGTATTCTCCATATCTGACCATGACCCATGTGCAGGATGCCCATGATGACAAGTCATTATAAATATATGATCCATCTTTTATTTAAATAACTTTATATAATTTTATTTGAATTATATATTTGTATGGATAAATATAACTTTTGATTTTTTAAATAAATTTATATATTTGTATTTGAATTATTTAGAAAATATAAATATTCAATCCAGGGACGAAATTATACAGACTAGGAGCTAGGGCTCTTGTACTTTTCAAAAAAAAAAATTGATTTAATATCATTTTAGGTCATTATCAGTTTAAATTTAAGTGAAATTAAATTTTTTATCTCTCCTAATTTTTTAGAGTAAATACATAAAAAGTGTTTATGGTTTTGAACTTAATTATCTTATCTCTCTTAATATTTGATTTTAGTTCTGTCTCTAATTCAATATGAGATAATTTTCTAATAAGAACATAATGCACAGCTATAACCAGTTGTGGGGGGGGGGGGGAATAAACCAAGCCATTGAATCGTACAAAACCATCTACTTGAAATCAAAAGAATCTGTGAACTAATTTTGGAAGCATTGAAACATGAATGAACTTCATTGTTTGGTAGTATATGATACTAACTCGTACACACTTTAATAGAAGCAACTAGGCAGCTTCTGTGTTGAGTGTGTCAGAACCAAAATATTATTATTTACACTACATGCAAATTTATTATTAAAACAGTTAAAATGAATCGATTTAATTTTCTCAATAGGGCATCCAAAGAGCTATTAATTAATTTTTGAAAATATATAAATTAATTATACCTTTTTGACCATGTTTGACTCATATCTTCTTGATAGTTCTGTCGTACGACAACTTAATTTAATGTTAAAAAATGAAAGGAGATAAATACAGCCTAAAATATTAGAAAAAAATAATATTTTAAGTTACACTCAACAAAAAATATTATGTTTTTATAACATTATCGATTTTATCTATTTAGTACTATTCTTTTAACATTAAATTAGATTGTCGTTCATTCTCCCACGTCTTCTGCCATCGCTATCAGAACAGCAATTCCTGGTTTGCTTAAATCAAAATTAGTTGAATTTCATATAAATAGGATTGTGCACTGCCGACCTCTTGTCAGTAATAAACTTTAATAAATTAATGGTGCTTAATTACACTAGTTATTGAAGTTCTTAAATTATGATTTGTCACCTTGAATGGGACCTTTATATAGATCATTCCCAATGTCATTTTCACAAAGATTCATTTTCTATATTAATTATCAAAATTATTACAGGTATTCAAAAAATATGAATACGCAAATTCAAAAATTATGAATACGCAACTTCTTTTAATTAACAAATAATTAAAAGTTTAAATGAGAAACAGGAAGGGAAAAAAGAGCAGAAACTTTAATATGTTAAAAATAAGACCTGATATTTGGGTAAATTTATTTTTTATTCCTCATCTTCCAATTTACATCAAATAAGTTCTATTTATACACAAAGTAACTGCTATAACTAACTCAATAACCATAAGCTAACAAACTGTACATTTAAGCTAAACTAATTAATACTTTCTACACTCCCCCTCAAGTTGGCAGTTGAAAAAATATGTTTGAACCCCAACTTGGAAACCATATATTCATGTTGATGTACACCCAAGGCTTTGGTCATCAAGTCTGTTTGCTGCTCCCCTGTTTTGATGTGTTCAGTTTGTATCAAACCTTCTTGAATTTTTTCTCTAACAAAATGACAATCTATTTCAATATGTTTAGTTCTCTCGTGGAAATTTGGATTAGCTGCTATCTGCAAGGCTGTTTTACTGTCACACATCATCTTAGCTGGTTCCATATTCTTTAAACCCAACTCAGTCATCAAACCTCTCAACCAAACAATTTCAGCAGTTGTTCCTGCCATGCTTCTATATTCTACTTCAGCATAAGAGCGTGCAACAGTGTTTTGTTTCTTAGACTTCCAGGAGATCAAAGACATTCCAAGTTTAATGCAAAAACCTGTTACAGATCTTCTAGTCATTAGACAAGTAGCCTAGTCAGAATCACAATAAGCAAACAACTTGCATTCACTTGCTGCACTTAATAAAATCCCCTGACCTGGATTTTTCTTAATGTATCTTACCACTCTTAATGTAGTTTCAAGATGAGATTGCTTTGGTTTATGCATAAACTGAGTTAGAAAATGTACTGCATAAGCAATATCCAGCCTTGTATGAGTAAGATATATCAGTCTTCCTATAAGCCTTTGAAAAACAGACTTATCTTGTACAATTGCTCATCTCCACAAAGTGTTTCATCATATTTAGCTGTAGTGAGCTTCTTGTTTTGCTCTAAAGGAGTCACAACTGGTTTAGCTCCCCCTGTTCCAGTTTCTTCAATCAGCTCTAAAGCATGCTTTCGTTGATTCAACACAATCCCTTCTTTTAACCTTAGAACCTCCAATCCTAGAAAAATATTTTAATTCTCCAAGATCCTTCATTTTGAAGTTCCCATTCAAAATATGCTTAAGTTTCATTATCATTACTTCATTGCTGTCGGTAATTAAAATATCAACATAAACCAACAGGACAACTATATCATTCCCTTGATGTTTTGTAAACATTGAATAACCATACTTACTCTGCATGTAACCAACTATAAGTAATGCTTCTGTTAGCTTCAAGTTCCATTGCCTAAAAGCTTGTTTCGGTCCATAAAGTGATTTATGTAGCCTACAAACCTTATACCCCCTGGTTGCAAAAACCATCAGGAAGTGCCATATAGACCTCTTCAACTAAGTCACCTTGCAAAAATGCATTGAACGCATCCATTTGATAAATAGGTCAGGAAAAATTAAGGCAAGAGCAAGAATAGTTTGAATAGTGACTAACTTAGCAACCGAGGAGAAAGTATCCACAAAGTCAACTCCTTCTCTTTGATTGAACCCCTTAGCAACAAGGCAATATTTGAAATGCTCAACATCTTCATTGGCCTTGTACTTAATTATTTACACCCATTTGCATCCTATTGGAACTTTCCTTGAAGGCAGAGTAACTATAGAGCAAGTGTTATTT